TTCCTGCTGCAAACCACATCTGCTGCTCATTCCCTGCCTATTCCCACTGTTCTCACTGACAGCCCAGAGGGCCGTACAACAGGAACACATATTTTCAGTAGCCATTCACTCAGTGACTGCCCTCCGCCTGGAGCTCCAGATCCTCATGGCACAGCTATCAGGAGAAGTTATGCCTGTTCCCAGCCATATGTTCATAGAATCATAGAATCACAGGGGTTGGAAGGGACCTGTGAAGATCATCAAGTCCAACCCTCCTGCCAGAGCAGAATCACCCAGGACAGATTGCATAGGAACATGTACAGATGGGTCTGGAAAGTCTCCAGAGAAAGAGACTCCACAACCTCTCTGGGCAGCCTGTCCCAGGGCTCTGTCACCCTCACAGGAAGAAGTTTGTCCTCATACTGAGGTGGAACTTCCTGTGTTGTAACTTGGTGCTGTTTCCCCTTGTCCTGCCACAGAGCACCACAGAAAACAGACCAGCCCATTCTTGACCTCCATCCTTCAAGTATTTATAGACATTAATAAGGTCCCTTCTCAGTCTTCTCAAGACTAAACAGCCCCAGCTCTCCCAGCCTTTCCTCATCAGACAGATGCTCCAGTCCCTTAATCATCCTCATAGCCTCTGTTGGACTCTTTCCACTATATCCCTGTCCCCCTTGAACTGGGGAGCCCAGAACTGGACACAGTACTCCAAATGTGGTCTTACAAGGGCAGAGTAGTAGAAGGGGAAAAGAACCTCCCTTGACCTGCTGGCCACACTGTTCTTAATACATCCCAAGATACTATTGGCTCTCTTGGCCACAAGGGCACATTGCTATCCCATGGAGAACTTGTTGTCCACCAGGACCCCAAGGTCCTTCTCCACGAGGCTGCTTTCTAGCAGGTCAACCCCTAATCTAGATTGGTGCATGGTGTTTTTTCTCCCCAGGTGCAGGACTCTACACTTAAATCTCATTCACAACTCAGCTGCCCATGGGAACCCCAGTGTCCTCAGCACCCAGCTGAGCACCAAACCATGGATGAGAGTGGCCTAAATGCTTTCTTCTGCTGTGCCTGGACTCCTAGGGAAAGGAGGGTTGGAAGTGCTGACCAGAGCAAGGTTTCCAATAGCTCAGAGACAATCTCTGTAGCTAAAAACACAATCAATTTGATTTTGTTCTGCTTGGGAATACCAGATTTTCTGCCCTACCCAAGCAGAGCCCAGCTGCATTTGCTCAACATCCTGCTCCACACCTAAGAGCTGACTTCTCTCCCAAGACTTCACATTCCCAGCCTGCTGTTTTTAAGCTTTACTCTTCACTAACCCCTTTGTCTCATTGCTTTAGATTCTCCTGCTCACAGAGGCCCAGAGAAGATGACATATCTACCCATAAAACAGGAAAAAAATTATCCACCACATCTTCTGAGTCACCCATGCAAACACAGTTTCAAATGTGTCAATGAACTGAATGTTAAACTGAGTTAAATTGTCACCAAACTCTTCCATTCAGAATTGAAATTACTTTTAATTCACTTTAGGAGGAAGTCTTACAACGAGGTTCCTCTACCTCTGCCTTTTTGAAGAAGAGACCTAAAACAGCTGAATCTATTGAGGAATTAATTCAGATTAGTTACCTCAGCAGACAAGCTCTATGCCTTGCACCTCCAAGAAAGGGCTGCACTTCAATTTAATTCTGTTTTATCAGATGATTCACATCTACTGAAATTCTTCCTCCAAGTTTGGGATCTGTTTTATCTCCAGCACTGGTAGGGACCAACGAGACGATTACACCAGAGCAAACATTATAGTGCAGGAAGAGAGAAACACCCAAGGGTTTGCCAAATTCCTCCTCCTGTTAGCAAAGACCACCTGCCCAAGAGCTGAACATGGCCCAGGTTAAAGAGGTGCCCACCAACAAGTGAAGCACAGGAAGGCACCAAGCACCAGGGCTGGGGCCACCTCTGGGATCCCCAACACAATAAGGACACAATGCAGCTGTTGGGGAGAGTCCAGAGGAGGCCACAGAGATGCTGGGAGGGCTGGAGCAGCTCTGCTCTGGAGACAGGCTGGGAGAGTTGGGGTGTTGAGCCTGGAGAAGAGAAGGCTCCAGGGAGACCTTAGAGCAGCTTCCAGTGCCTGAAGGGGCTCCAGGAAAGCTGGGGAGGGGCTTGGGACAAGGGCAGGGAGGGATGGGAGCAGGGGGAAGGGTTTCCCCCTGGCAGAGGGAGCTGGAGATGAGATGTGAGGGAGAAAATCTGCGCTGTGAGGGTGGGGAGACCCTGGCCCAGGTTGCCCAGAGAGCTGTGGCTGCCCTATCCCTGGCAGTGTTGAAGGGCAGGTTGGAAGGGGCTTGGAGCAACCTGGAATAGTGGTAGGTGTCCCTGCCCATGCAGGGAGGTTGGATCCAAATGCTTTTTGAGGTCACTTCCAACCCAAACCAGTGTGGGATTGCACGAAAAGCTGTGAGTCACTGGGCCCTGCTATAGGCAGTAGCAGCACAACCCATGGAAAAGAGATTGCAAAGCTACTCATAGAAAATGGCTTTAAGATGAACAGTTTTAATTTGGAAAGCATTTGCTTTCCCAGTTTAAGACTTGAAAGGGAAGCAGGAAGGAAGGATGGGAAGGTGCAGTCACAAGTAAACTCCTTTTCCTTGGTCCCCAGGGCAGAAATGGGAACAATAACAAACAGAACTAAACTGACATATTGTGACAGAGACATAATTAAGGACAGTCCTAACTTAGGACTAAGCCATATGATAGAAACTTGCTCGATACACACTGACCTATTCACACCCTGTTAAATTCACCCTTTTCAAGTGATTCATTGAATGACTCCAGAGGGAGCTGCTCAGCTGGCCCAGATTGACTTTGTTAAAGTGGATCCCTAATTGAACACCCCTCCTGCAAGAGGCACCATTAGAAAAAAAAGAGGCAGGAATATCTGCTCCCGAGCTTCCTGATGTGAGCAGAAAACAGAGATGCTCATTAAGATTTTAAGAAATCTTTTCTTTTGGAGGCGAAAGTGGAATGATCCTGAATGGTGCCCAACTCCCCTTCAAAATGTCCCTCTTACATGGAGGATGAATCATCTTGGAATCATGGAATGGTTTGGGTTGGAAGGACATTAAAGACCATCCAGATCCAACCCCCTGCATGGGCAGGGACACACCTTCCACTAAACCAGGTTGCTCCAACTAAGACAAAGCTGAATTGCAGCTGCTGGTCTATAAATACTCTTCCTTTTCTAACATGAGCTTAAAAGTTCATTAAATTCCAACTCTGGGGCCTTGACAGCTACAGAAATCCATGGAAGGTCTGGGGAAAAAAAGCAAACCAAAGCAACACAAAAATCCTTTGGCCTCAGCAGATTACCTGAGGTTACAGAGCAGCTTAAACACTACTAGCACACCCAGAGCCACAGCACATGCCCACAGCCATGCTCAAGTATCCTGGATTTCTCTACTGCTTTTTAATAGGTCCATAATAAAGTTCTCTAAGAAGAAAATCAAACTCCAAAGTACCAAGTGGTTGCACTGAATCCCAGGCAGCACCAACCTAAGGTGAGAGGCTTCTCCAGCAGAGCAGCACAAAGACAAGTTCTGAAGCACAAAAGGGTTTGTTTTTTTCCCATTCCATTATCCTCCCTTCCATGAGGGCAGGACAAAAACTGCTGATATCATCTCCCTGGCTGGGTTAAACAAGAGGGGAGTACCTGCTATTCCTGTTGCCCAGCTAACCAGCTGGTCTTTATTTTAAACAAGAGGGGGAGAAAAGGTCTAATTGGCTGAAATAGTTTCTTAAAAATAAAAATAAACAATGGCAGAGCTGAATGGGAGCTGCTTTGACAGCTTGCATGAAAACTACCCCTTTTGTTATTGTGGCCTTTCTGGCAAAGAAAGAACAAATAAATATATTAAACAATGAGAAGCTTTTGGCAGAGTAAGGTTCTACCTATGGCATCAGGTTCTGCAGGATTTATTAATTCTTTTTAAGGGGATTTTCCCTAATCACTAATCATGCCTCATTACCAGCTCCCAGCAAACCAGCACAGCACTGCTCTCCTGAGCTGGCAAATCCCAAAGTGCTGCCTCCCTTTCCCAATCCATCTTGGAAGGGAGAGGCCAAGGGACTGGGCTGTCCCACCATCTGCTCAGGAAATGCTAAGCACAAAGGGAAAGAAGAATGACCCCAGGATCATTTGCCCAAGTACAATCCCACACACAATTTCAGGTTAGGTGGAGAATGGATGGAGAGCAGCCCTGAGGAGAATGACATGGGGGTGTTGGGTGGGGAGAAGCTCAACAGGAGCCATCAATCCTGGGCTGTCACCAGCAGGGTGACCAGCAGGGCCAGGGAGGGGACTGTCCCCTCTGCTCTGCTCTGCTGAGAACCCCCTGCAGGGCTGGGGCCACCTCTGGGGTCCCCAACACAGGAAGGACATGGAACTGTTGGAGAGAGGCCAGAGGAGGCCCCAGAGATGCTGGGAGGGCTGGAGCAGCTCTGCTCTGGAGACAGGCTGGGAGAGTTGGGGTGCTGAGCCTGGAGAAGAGAAGGCTCCAGGGAGACCTTAGAGCAGCTTCCAGTGCCTGAAGGGGCTCCAGGAAAGCTGGGGAGGGGCTTAGGACAAGGGCAGGGAGGGATGGGAGCAGGGGGAAGGGTTTCCAGCTGGCAGAGGGAGCTGGAGCTGAGATGGGAGGGAGAAAATCTGGGCTGTGAGGGTGGGGAGAGCCTGGCCCAGGTTGGGCAGGGAATCTGTGGCTGCCCTATCCCTGGCAGTGTTGAAGGGCAGGTTGGAAGGGGCTTGGAGCAGCCTGGGCTGGTGGGAGGTGTCCCTACCCATGCAGGGGGGTTGGATCTAGATGATCTTTGAGGTCCCTTCCAACCCAACCCAGTCTCCTCTTGCAAACTCACATCCCTTCCCCAGGGGTTTCTGCCTTGGAGCTGCAACTTTGACAACTTTCCAGCTTCAGGACACCTCATTTCTAAATTCTACCACACACTGTCGCTTGCTAAGGGTGCAAAAAAGGCCCTCTTGCACAGTCAGATCAGCAGATTTCAAGCTTCTCATGTGGATTTTAAAGTTTTGCCTCTTTATTCTTCCAGCCTTAAAGGATCACTAAAGACCCCTATGAAACTGGAGCACGATGACAATGTTTTGACACTCTGCTTGCCCCATCCCAACTCACCAAGTCACAGAAAGATCCCAAAAAGGCAGCAGTCAAAACATTTATGATTTATTTTTCCACGTCCTGTTTGTTTCTTTCAAGCTACCGTTTTCTTGCTTGCTCATTTGGCCGCTCACAAAAAGGAAAGCACATTAGATAAAAGCAACAGGAATTGGGGAGAACCATCTATTCCCTTCTGAACACACAGGGAATGATCCTCAAAGCCAAACATAAGAAAGGCCAATGTGAAAAGGTTTCACTCACATCTTCAGGTCACATATGACCCCAAGAACGTGTGTTTTCCTTCTATCAGATACTTTTCCCCACAGAAGAAGCAAATCCTTGTTTTTTTCTGTCCCTAACCTTCAGCAAAGAAGTTCAGCCAATCAAACTTGCCCATGTTTCTAAATCTCAAGGACCAGCAACCTTTTTGTGGCTTTTTTTCCAACCAAAGCTGCAGTTGGAAAAAACACTTTACATGTGCAGCTTATTATTTTTTAATCAAGTCTCCAAGTTCTTGACATATTTGAAAGTGAGGAAATAATGGCACATAAAAGCTTAGAAACTCCTACTGCTAAATGCTTCAGAAGACACTAAACCCCATTTTATTGAGATGATGGCAGTTCAACTCTAAGTTCAGGATGGCCAGTCAAATGTTTTCAATCAACATCTCCACCCTTTTTAGAGCTATTTATTTAGAGCATTGTCCCAGCCAGACTGCACAACAGGTCAGGCCACCAATAAAGTAAAAAATTACCAAAATGTATTCAAATGACAGCTCTCAGTGTTCATCACACCCTGTGGCAGCTGTGCTGTCATCTCTAAACCTGCTCAGTGCAGCAGGCAGGAGAAAGGGCAGAACTACTGAGGTGATCCCATGCTCATGCCAAGCTGCTCTGCAAAGTTAAAGGTCAAATGCTGCTCTACCTGTAGTTCCTCAAGCAATGTTGTAGTTCCTGACAAATCTGGTGGCTGTCTGTGACAAGGTTAGTGTTGGTGATGTGGGAAGAGCAGCTGATGTCATCTACCTGGATGTGTGCAAGCACTGACAGGCTGGAGAGGTGGGTCTGGGCAAACAGCATGAAACAGCAAAGCCGAGCAAAGCCAAGTGCATGGTCCTGCCCATGGGTGGGGGAAATCCCAAGCACAGATCCAGGCTGAGATGGATGGAGAAGAGCCCTGAGGAGAAGGACTTGGAGGTGTTTGGTGAGGAGAAGCTCAACAGGAGCCAGCACCACATGCTGGAGCCCAGAAACCACCCTGTGTGTCCTGGGCTGTCACCAGCAGGGTGACCAGCAGGGCCAGGGAGGGGGGGATTGTCCCCTCTGCTCTGCTGAGACCCCCCTGCAGGGCTGGGGCCACCTCTGGGGTCCCCAACACCAGAAGGACACAATGCAGCTGTTGGAGAGAGTCCAGAGGAGCCACGGAGATGCTGGGAGGGCTGGAGCAGCTCTGCTCTGGAGACAGGCTGGGAGAGTTGGGGTGTTGAGCCTGGAGAAGAGAAGGCTCCAGGGAGACCTTAGAGCAGCTTCCAGTGCCTGAAGGGGCTCCAGGAAAGCTGGGGAGGGACTTGGGACAAGGGCAGGGAGGGATGGGAGCAGGGGGAAGGGTTTCCAGCTGGCAGAGGGAGCTGGAGCTGAGATGTGAGGGAGCAATTCTGGGCTGTGAGGGTGGGGAGAGCCTGGCCCAGGTTGCCCAGGGAAGCTGTGGCTGCCCCATCCCTGGCAGTGTTGAAGGGCAGGTTGGATGGGGCTTGGAGCAGCCTGGAATGGTGGGAGGTGTCCCTGCCCATGCTGGGGGGTTGGAACTGGATGATCTTTAATGTCTCTTCCAACTCACACCATTCCATGGTTCTATATTGCAGAAAGGCAGGGTGATTTCATTTTACAAAATATTTAAATAAGCTGGTTCTGGCCACTCATTCCCACCACAATCAAGCATCACCAAATAATCCAGCCAGGATCACTTATATCCAGCACAGAGGGTGAAAGGACAACAGCTGCCAAGTCCTCACTACAATTCCTGGTTGGTCTTCATTTAGGACAGACTAATTTTGGATAGGTCTCTCATCCCCTCTGGCCCCTCTGCTTTGGCAGATGTTTGCCTCCATGAAGCTCAGGCAGCTCTACTGCCTATTGTCTGTGTTTCCTCATTTTAAGTCTCTTAAAATTCTTCCTGAGGTACTAACAGGAGAAGGAGCAGCCCAGGTGCTGATCTGCAACCATGTCCACCTTACCCTGCTGTCAGGGCATGGGGTCTTCTGCTCACCAGACTTGTCCCCAAATGTCCTGCTTCCTTCCATCAACCTGCCACCTTCAATCCTACTAATCCCTGTGCAGGGTCACGCCCTGTGTTACACCACAACATTAGTACCATTACTACTAGCAACAGAATTTCTACTTCAAGCACCATATTTGGAAATACAAATTAAACAACTGCAGGATGTGAAGTCAAAAAACACAAGGTGGTTCTTGGTTGCCCTATTTCAAAGCAACACACAGAGTGCTGGGTAACTAAGGTGTGTGCATGCCTCCTTTTTACTACTCCTGAAGGCTTCCTAAAGATGGTATCACAATTATTTTCCCTCCCACCTGGCTTTTCAACCTCCAGAACAGCAGGTTTCAATATCTCCCTTCCCATATATGATTGCTGAAAGACTTTTGAAGGCCATTTAGGTGAAGGGCTGAAGTCAAAGCATTGTTAGCTCTCGGGAGAGAACAAAACAAGTCAACACTGACTTTGACTCCAGCCTTCAAAGCTTCATCTTTTTCACAGCAGCCAGACAAAATAAGTTTGTGAGATGTGTAAAGAAGAGTCTCTTTACAAACGTTTGGATAAGCAGGATGGGAATGTGTCACTGAGGACAAGGTTTAAAACCTGTTGGTTCATCCAGCCTCTTCAGATCACACAGCTCCCTTCCCTGCCCACACCTCAAAAAAACACAACACCCAAAGGAGAGAGCAGCTGTGCCTGGGACCCCAACACCCAAACAACAGCTCTGCCCAGGGCTGAGGGAAGCTGGGAGAAGCCAGAGGATCCATTCAAGGATGCCAAACACAACCTGCCCACGAGTCTTTCAAATATCTGAGCTCTCTAAAGCAGCATTTCCAGGAGGACAATCATTCTCACATCCATCCAGGAGAGCTTTTGGGTTTGGATCTATGTCCAGAATGGGTCTGTGTCTTCATCCTGCTTCTCAGAGGCTTTTATTTTCAAGCTTCTTTGCCACAATCACATATTTCCCACAATTAGTAGAACAAGAATGGGATTGTAACACCCAGAGGGGCAACACAGAATAGGGAATAAAAGGAAGAGTCCTTATGGGTGAACTGTCCTTACTGAGAAACCAGAACAGATGTGGAAAGTTTTGCCCCAGAGATGTATGTTTTTCCACCACTAAAACTGAGGGATATCTGGGTTGTCTGGTTTTCCAAAAAATGTCAAAGGAAAAGAAAGAAAGGAATTCTGGAAGATGAGAACCATAGAACAGCCCAGGTCGGGAGGGATCTGCAAAGATGGTCCAACCTCTCATGGGAAAGGGAGCTGAGCTGAGATTATCCAGCATCCTCTCCAGCCACATCTTGAAACCTTACAGTGACAGATCATGTCCCTGGGGAGGTTGTTCCAGTGATGGACATCACTGTAAAAAAAGTCTTTCTATCAAGATGAAATCTGTCCTGCTGCAACTTGTCTCAACTGCCCCTTGCCTTCTCCACACAGCTCCTTGTGAAGAGAGACCCTTCTGCCTCTTCACAGCTGGACAACTGTGATGAGGCTCCCTCCAGGCCTTCACTGCTCCAAGGAGAAGAGACTTTGACTCCTTCAGCCTTCCCACATAGAGCAGGTTCTCTGGTTCTCCAGCCCTTCACCCATCTCCTTTGGACCCTCTCCAGTCTATCCACATCCTTCTTGACTTGTGGGGACCAGAACAGCACCCCAGGGGTGGCCTGATAAGAGTTGAGTAGAGCAAGATGATCCCATCTCTCTGTTAGTAAAGCCCCTGCAGATGCAGCCCAGGACCCATTTTTAGCTTCAGGCTTGTTCCCTCACACAACACAAAAAGGTTGGGATATTTGGGAGTTCTCTTTTTAAAAAATACATACAAGACTCTCCACACAAAAAACCCCCCAACAAACCAACTCTTCTGTGACTGGTTCACTGGGAAGATTACAGCTCAAGACAAGAGCATAAATGCAGAGCACGCAAGAAGCACAAGATATTATTAGGTTTCCAGATCATTTCTATTCACTTAACCCCAAGAGTCTGATGAAAACACTGAAAAGCCTGAAATGTGGACAGAAAGATTCCCAAGGAGGAGAAGCACAAACCCCACACCACATAAATACAACATTTCTGAGCTTCCCAAAGCTTACAGACACCTAAAAATAGCTCCTTCCTTTCCTTGAGCCAACATACAATTTTCCCCAGCACGAGGCAACAAAAACACAAGCAAATGGTTGGGGATTTTTTGAGCTGTTAAGCCATCAACCAGAGTGTTTTGTAGAGGCTGGTTGAGAAATGCTCTTATTGGGAAACCCTTGATAGAAATACCCTGCTTAAGGAAGCAAACAGGGCACCACTGCCCTGGCACCAGCTCCCACCAGCTTCCCTTTGGTAACCATCTCCCTGTACAAACTAAATTCTCCAGAGGGAAAAGGTGGCAAAATTAAAACATCTTTACTACCAGCAAATGAAAAAAATAGAAAAATGGAGAATGTGTCAAAAGCAGCACCTAAATCAAAGTGTGTGCTCTTGTATTGAATCAAAAGACAGCCCAGATCTCCTCCAAGTGACAGGAACAAGAGCTCTGCAGGGAGGGATGGGGTGAACATAGCCAGAGCCAAAGCTCTTTGTGTGTTTTCAAGGCAGTGATTCCTTCTAGAAATGGGGTTAAAAATAGAGAATGTGCTTTGGGGAAAAGAGTCTTCAATAATGGGGGGGTGGGGGGATGAAGGAAAACCTCTTGAAAACTCTGGAAGAGAATTGGGAGGTGAGAAATGAAACCTGGTTCAAGGAAGTGGAAGAAAGGGGGGGAAAAAACCATTCCTCTCCTTCTCTGTCTCAGTGGTTATGTAAGGGCTGCAGCTGGAGCTCTATAAATAGGAGGAGAACAGGTGTCAAATGGGGAGAAAACTCCAGAAATTGACTCAAATGGGATTTTTTCCATCAAGTTTTTTTTTTCAGCA